TTTTTTTATAAATAATGTTTTCAATTTCACTCATCCCATGCATGGCCTCAACACTTTTGATTTACTTCTCGTACTTCGCTCACCATCTGTGATCTGTGGGCATGCACTCGCAGAGACCTTCAGGTGACATTGGAGGAAATGGAACCGAGCCGACTAAGGACCTTTCCAGAACCGAACCTGAACCGCTTTCCTCAGCTGCTGGATGGCATCATGGGATGGTCATAGTTAAGCCACCTTTAGCGTGAACGGTTGCTCGCAACTGTCAACACCCAGATTAGATTTTCCTTCTTAGGCATTTAACCATGCTGCTGAGCAGCAGAAATATAGCATACTTGTACATATATGAGGTTTGTTTCAGTAATAAGGAATTGGCAAAATAATGCATTCAACTTCAGCTATGTGAGCTGTTTGTAATTGTTTATGCATTTTCAGTTGGGACACCACCATCGAAGTGGTCTTGTGCATATCTTGCTCAACTGCTGACCCGCAGCTCGCAGAATCAAATCCCGGATGCCGCAGCCGGATTTCAATAAATACAAAATGCTGGAGGCCTTCATGTGCTTAGATGTAGGTTGAGGAACCCCAGGTCGTCAAACTTTCAGGAGCCCTTCACTACGGCGTCTGTCGCTGCATAGAGTAGTTTAGGGATGCAAAACTCCAATTATATTTTTCAGTCGAAACAATATTCTCTACAAGTCATGCAAATATTGTGATAATTGCAAAGCATGGTTCTTACAAACTCCTTGTCTCTAAGTATATCACTGCTGAAGGAGTCTCTTATAACCGTTTTTTTTTCCCACAGATTGATATATGGCATAGTGTACACACAAGCCTTCATTGTACAGAAGCTATAGAGGTGTCCTGTAGAATTTATTGTCCAATATTGACTCTACATGTAGTACTTTGGCGCATTCGCCTGTATATTAGCATTTGTGACCGAAGTCTCGACAGATGACCAGCATCCACTGGAGTTACAGGGACACCATACTAGAAGCACGATGCAAGGCCGTCTCGCGAGGGAACGCATATTTTTTGCACTAATTGGTAACTCCTTTACAAATTAAGGAATAAATTGCAGAAGGAAATAGGAAGTTTGCTACAATGTCTAGCACAGTGGTTCTCAAATGGAAGTCCGCAGACCCTAGGGGGTCTCCGAAGCTATTTTTATGATCCGCAAAACCCTCATTTGCATTTTTCTCTTAGTACGACTCTGCCATGTATTGATGAACTGTCCAAAATGAAGGGATGTGGCACATTTGTTTGATGTTTTCAGTAGCAATAAAAGGCACCTGTTTCACACTCCAGTTGTGTTAATTTACCTACTTATCCCTCCCCTTTCTCCTTTCTGCTGCAAGGGGTCCCCCATCACTTCCACCTACACATCCATGGCTGAGAACCACTGGTCTAGCATATATGGCTGTCTAGTGGCCAGTTGTGAGGGTGGGGACACGATAAAAAGGACAGACTTGATGGAATAGTAGAAGAAAACTTTATTTCCAAAAGAAAAAGGCAAACTGAACGTGAATGTGCAGCCGAACAAAATTACAGCCCTGCACGAGAAACAACCTGCAAGTCATGCAGTACGATTTATAAATGTACTGAGGCTTATACAAGTATCTGCCCTCAACACCCATAATAAAGTCTGAATGATCAATTACTCGGAACTACATGATCATACAATGTGACGATGCTTTTCACCCACTCTTTCACACACAAGTTGACTGTGACTAATGTACAAGTTACCACATGCCGACGAGCACAACTGCCTCTGTCTGTGCTTTCAGGCACAAGAAATGCGTATACACACAAAACTGCACGAGCTGCTAACACTAGAGAAAAGAGCACGACACTATAGCTCCAAAAGAAGGTAGTGAAGTTTATTGAAATATGATGGCACATATTAGCCCTGTGTAGAGTAGGTATATTTTTGTCAGTTTGTTTTGTTTTCAAAAAAAAAAAAAGGCTTCCGATTCAAGCCTGCCCACATTCTTAGATTGTTCAGTTTCGCACAACTATTACTAGAGTTTTAAACGTGAACAGTGCGAACAAGCTTGCACCGCTAAGTAACAATACAGACAACGCCAATGTCAGACCAATGTTGTCCAGTTTAGGGACATACGTCACACATTCTAACCATTGCCGGCAGTAACACGTTCAAATCCAAATGACAATGTAAAGTAAGATTGTATGTTAGGCTAACAATCGAGCCTGCCAACCCAAACAGTAGCTTGTCAACTGGACCATCAACATGCAATGCAGAATCTGTCGATCCAAGGTTTACTTTCTGTGGAATTTGAAAGCTTTTTAATGAAAGCGGGATCGAAGGTAGTAGAAGTACCACAGTAGACTCTCGATAATCAGAACTGCAGCTTTGTTGGAACAAGTGCTTCTGACAAATTGAATTCGTATGCTCCACCTCTGTTCATCTCTCAGTAAATGTAACTCCAGTTATACGCCTTCAGGTTCAATTTAATGAGAGTGAACTACATGTAGATTCCTCCATTTTGCATGGCTTCGCAAATGGCACGAAACAGCTTATTTTATGATGTTAGGGAATTAATCTGTGCTCTACAATTGCTTTGACACTTTTATCATGCAACATTTCCTTATTATATTAAGTTTTGTTTTAGTGTGCAATTTTCAGATGCTTAATAAACCACAACATTTGACAATGAGCGAAACGACAGAGATAGATACCGTTAACTTTTGCAACATGGATTTGGTAAATTCGATATCGAATGAGTGTCCTGGTCAAACTTCCATTAAAAATGTTTTCAATGTTAGCCTTTGGCAGTTGACTAGAACTTGGATGATCATATTTTACTGAATAGTCTGTGCATTTAACACACGTCATCTCCCACCAAAATCACTTATTTTCAACCTGTCACAGGAAGATCTCAACACGAAAACGGTAGCTGACAGCAAGCAATTACAGCATTTATCAGATTGTAAAGCACACATTAGCATTTTTCTTCACATCACAGAAAACTAGCTCGAAAACTAATATGGCAGTGGAAACGCGCATGAAACCAATACTGCGTTCGTAACAACTCGGAGCTAGTTTTACCGCTGTCAATGCCACCGGCACCTCAAAATGGCTACCATGACCGGTGACTTTGGGCAGCATAACAAGACGCCAGTTTCAGTATGATTATGAGTGCACTTTCAATCGATACTTTGTTTTACTTATTCAGGTGATGACAACAAGCAGCATAGCGTGTCTTCTGTGTTCCACAGAATCACACATTGCAAGACAGACTTGAAAAGTGTTTGTCTAGTGAAAACTAACAAAGGATTGAGTAAAAAGGGTGTCTTTTTGTCCCACAACAATAATCATCATCTGGCTTGCTTGTGCTTCCTTTCTTCAAAACTCAGCGCTGGCCACTTCCGTATCCAGAGTGGGAAGCCGCATTGATAGTGTGCATGCTGTTTATGATCTGAAAGTCCCAGGCACATTGGGATAATGCAAGGAATGGAACGCAAGATAGATGACGATCAATGTTGTGGGACAAAAAGGCACCCTTTTTACTTACAGCGAAAGCCACCATCCCGTTTGTGATTGTTGATGAGTCGTTTCATGCATGAAGAACTTCAAGATGGCGCCAACCATAAGGAAGATGACATAATTTGTTTTCCGCTGTAATAAAGTGCTGCCTAAGCATGCTGGAGATTAAATAAAGCTTTGCGAGGATAACGTTCGCCGGTTTCGACTTTTGCTCAGTGCTAGACTTGAAGACACGCTAATACTATATTGTTACGTAGGCGCCGGTGCCAGTGTTGACTAGAGGCCGTAGAAGAGATAGAAGTGTTGCGGGCTCAGAACCCTGTGCATATCATTTTGGTGGAGGTGCGGGGTAGTCTCTACGGAAGTCGGATCTGAATCTCCGCAGCGGACGTCACATCGGTTCCGCTGCTATGGCTAGCGACAGTGTCCCGGTCGCCCAGACACAGGTGCAATACATCATGACTCCTCTACGTGACCCGGGAAATGTTCACTGACACCAACACCTACATAGCATTAACTCCCAGTGGTCTTTTCTTTGCCAAAAAAGAAAAGCGCATTCGATTTATTTAGTTTGAGTGCTAAGATGTTATTTCTGCGTTATTTTTCTACAAAGGATGGCTACATACACAAAATGCTTTGTTTATTTTACTGAAGCCACTGTATTAGCAGGGCACCTACAAGGTTAACATGAGATGCCCAACAATTTTTACATGTCAAGCAACAACAAGCAGACGCGTGTCCACAACAAGTGCAATGGATGATTACTACTTCTCCAAACTAATGTCTGACCGTGCGAAGCAGAAGAGTTATGTTTGGGCTAAATATGGTTTTTCTATTTAAGTACATGTGGAAGCATCTTGCTTTATTTAGAGAGATGCCAGAGAGAGGAAAGAGAAAACAAAAGGAAGGCAGGGAGGATAACAAGATGTTGAGATCCGGTATGCTACCCTGCACCGGGTTAGGATCAAAGTGAGGGATGCCGACTGCTACAGACAGATTTGGAGCTCCAAACAACTACCCTTTTTACAACTACATAAAAGTGCATCAGACAAAGGATGCATTATAGTTTTTGAAAAAATGTGCAAGCTCGATATGAGTTCATGTCTTACATTAAATTCTGACATTCGTAACGCCAACAACACTGACAGGTTGGGGCGGATAGTATCTCTTTAGACTGTTTCACTGCATGAATAATTACCTACCGCGGACATGCAATTGGCATGGTTCATATCACTGCAATGCCCATATTCTTTGAACAGTTCAACAGGTTGCGAACTTAGCACTTATTAGCCAAATTGTTGACAAGCCTTCTATGAAAAAAAGAGGTGGCCAGCACAAGAGACATACCACAAGCAGTCAGGGTGCGTTTGACTCTGTCACTTATGTGGAAAAAACAAAAGTAAATTTGCCGAAATTTAGTTAGTTGACATCGAACATTGGAACTTCTCACATGTTTATACAGAAGCTTCTTCTCAGAACCCCGGTATAAGAAAAAAATATCTCCACTTCAAAAGTGTCAGTGCGACGAGGATAGCGTTGTACCAAATAACAGTGTGCAGTTTCCCTCAAGTGAGAAAAGACATGCGGAACATGGACCAAGCAAGCAAACACGGACACTTCATACACGGGATGAAACGGTGCAGTAACACAATGGTGGAGGTATCCTCTGCCCAATCAGCTCCTGGGAGCGACGGCCAAGCGCTCAATGGTGCGCCTGTACTCCATCTCCAAGTCCCTGTACTGGCTCTCCAGCTGCTCAATGCGGTTCTCGCGTTGAGGCACTGCAACGTGGCACGAAACTCCTCCGGCGACATCGTCCGCTGCATCTTCTCTATGTCGGTTTTTTGCTTCTGCAGAAGAAGATAATGCAAAGAAACTGTGAAGCGTGTCCAGTAGAACACTGGACACGCTTTTGCCAGGCAGAAACACACCATGTACGAGTGAAAGTCACGCATCTAGTCAAATCTAGGCCAACAATCTTTTTCAAATCGTAAATTGCAGCAAACTCTCGGGTTCGCTAAAATTTGAGGATTTCAAGACTCACCAGGTTTCTCATTTGCACTGAGAAAACTGGTGTTCAGCAAGTGCCATCTAGAAAAGGCGGTATTACAGCCGACCATCCACCGCTGCGCCAAGCCCCAAACGAGGAAGATCTCCCCTCCTCGTGACCCTGCATGAACTCACTCACACAAGCAGCGCCACTGGTGCCACCTCAGGACCGCAGTGCCACTCTTGCTTGGCATTGTCCGAGCTAACTACAATGACTACGACACAGGGCACCGCGGGGCAAAAACTCTACAGAGGTTGACAGCACACTCGTTCATTGATATGAAATGAACACACTTCACCAGTACATCAAAGCTAAATACACTCACTAAATCTAAACATACATTTGTGGACATTAAGTTGAAGAAGTAGAACAGTTTGTTACATCATGTGAATATTTCGTTTCATTAAAGTGCATTTATGTGTTGGCTTGGCTGCATTCGTGAACTAACTATCAAGTTAACTCCAGCTAGTACAACAAAGTGCTCTGGCAATACAAAAAAATTTGTTGGAGCAGAAGTTTCACTTTGCGAAAATCCAGACGAGTAACACAGCAACTCCAGGCTGCTTGGGTTTGACATAGGCCCGCTTTCACTACTGCACGCAAATCTCACGGTTTGAGGAAGTTGCCTAGCAGACGCCAGAAGCAGAATGCTTCTTTTCTTTCGCTAAAGCCACTGATGGCTGCATGAGCAGCATTGTGCTCAAGCAGTGCACAATGCAGATGGCCCTGCTAGAAAGAAGCAGCAGCAGACTGCAAAAGTGACATTGAGTGATCACCTATCGAAACGATGCCAAAAGCTTTGAGTGGTGCCATTACCACTATTAAGCAGACATGTGAACATGATCATCTAGCAATAATAGCTCACACAAGCGCACATGCTGCAGGCTATGTTTTCTGCCAAGGTAACCACTACAATTCCTTGCATTCTAAAGCACAGTGACACGTGGGCATCACCATGCCAGAAATGTATTTGTTGGCCGATTGAGCTCTGTTCTATTTGGAAATGCACCAGCACGTTCAGAAGCAGGAGGCACCTTTAAGAACTTGACTAGGATGGATGCTTTAATAAACATTGATCCAAGTTTTAAGTCTGTGTCAGCTTTTCTGCTTGTTTGCCATATATTGAATAAAAGTGTAAAATACGGCCAACTGACAGCATCAGCCAACCCATTAAATTTTATCGTGGCTTGGTTTCACAGCCATCCAAAGTGAACTCACTCAAACACCGTTATGCAGTAGACTCTTAGTAAACAGAACCTGAAGGATCAGGAAAATATGTTCCATTTAACAGGAGTTATGTTTATTGAGAGGTGAGCGTGGGTGCAGAATACAAGCCCGAAACCAAGTATTGGAGAGGCCATAGTTCCGTTTAGTGAGAGTCTACTGTATTAACATGTTACAATGAAACAATGAACATCATTTTGCTTTTGAGGCTATGGAAAGTCATATGACAAAATTTACGTGCCTCGAGAACAAGAATTCAGGCCCCTTTAAACAAATCTGAACAGGGTCTCAGGAAATGATAATCTGTTTAACGGAACTGCTGCTTATGTGGAACAACTGCCTCCAGCATGATTGGTTTCATACTTGAATTCTCCACAAAGCAGAATGCCACTGCAATCAACAACTCTACACGTGGCAACGCGACGAGCCACTGGCGCGCCGCCAATTCCATGAAACAATCCCTGCTCCTCTCTGGTCCTTTCAGACCTCCACGTGAAGCGCAGTACGAATATCTCCACTCGCACAACGAATATGCTGTGAGTGGTCGAGCAAGAGCTTACGACTTTCGGTAAGTCTGCAAGCAGCTGTCCGTGCTGCTTCTTGTTCGTCGTGCTGCCCGCTTGCTTGCGAATCAGCCACTGCTGCCCATAACACAAGGTTCATACTGACACAATTCGTATAAGCACGAGCTGGCACAGCAGCAGCAGTTTGCCAACAAGCACGCAGTTGACGGAGTCACGGCAATTGAAAGTAGACAGTGTTTTGAGCAGCACGTGAGCAATGATGTATGCTTTCTCTCGCGAATTGGGAGGGGCGCTCGGCGAGAGAGCAAAGCAGCTATGGAAGAGATTAGCGTAGAGTATAGCGAAAAAATGGCGAAACAAGTGATTGCTGCCGTTTCGATAGTCATCATCATCATCAGCTCGACTACACCCTACTGCAGGACAAAGGCCTCTCTCTTGTTCCGCCAGTCAACTCGCTCCTGTGCTTGCTGCTGCCACTTTATACTTGCAAACTTCCTAATCTCATCTACCCCCTTAACTTTCTGTCTCCCCCTCACCCGCTTGCCTTCTCTTGGAATCCTTAATGACCAGTCGTTATCTTGCCTTCGCGTTATGTGCTCTACCCGTGACCATTTCTTCTTGATTTCGACTATGATGCCCTAACACCCATTCATTTCCTAATACACTCTGCTCTCTTTTTGTGCTCCAGGGTTACACCTTCAACTTTCCTCTCCATTGCTTGCTGCATTGTCCTCAACTTGACTTGAACCCTCTTTGTAACGCTCCAGGCTTCTGCTCCCTAGCTAAGTACTAACAATGCAGCTGTTATACCTTCCTCTTGAAAGATAGTGGCAATCTATAAGTCATAATTTGACAATGCTTGTTATTAAATAATCAAACACGTCTAACTCCACTATTATGGCACCGTTTCGAAAAATTCTCCCAGCTCTGTGCTCAACACACATTCATGAACAATTTCTTCACCACAACTGAATTTCCCCCTCTAGAAGGTTTCGGGGCCCTTTAATGAGCATCCAAGCAGAAACAGCACGAACAGCCCTCTCATTTACAGTGACCTGTACTGTCGATTAGAAAAAAAAAGATTAACCAGCATGCTTTAAATGTAGTGTGTGTGAGCTCCATGCAATATTTAAATATTTTTGCCATTCGAAATAAACGTGTAAACTGCACATACTCTTGACAGTAGCAACGTACTCGTCTTCAGTGCCCCATCCTTCAGCGTCTCACTTGCAACAGTTTCACTGCTTGAAAACTAAATACATATTATAGCTACGCATAAGACAGTTTACTAACAACATATTCCAGCTTTTAAGAGAATTTATCTTACTTAACTTTCAGTGGTGTAAATACAAAAATAAAGATCCAAAATAAAGATACATTATTTGAGCCTGCCTCACCCATCACAATTTCTTAGTCCCACTCTTATATCGAATACAAACGAACACTGGAAACATTTTCTAAATCCAATAGCCCTGCGCAGATGCTGCAGTGCACGTGGCTCGTTTTCATTTCCCGCACGGCCGCTTTGTCTCGGTGGTACTGCAAATAAGTTTCGCTGCTGTCAATGGATGGACGATTTGGGGGCAGCACGCATCAGCTACGCCAGTGCTGTAGCGTGTAAAATTAATTAAATCCATCTAAAAATAAGCCGAGTCTGCAGACCAAGTTCACCGAAATATTCAGTGTTTGGGAACAAAGATTTTTTTGCACAGAATACATAGAAAAACAGCCGAAGATTTTCGAAGAGATTGTTATTCTGAAATGTTCGTTAAAGTGATGCGCGTAGAAGCGAGAGCTCACTGTAGTTAAAAGAGTGGCTTTTAGCCTCTGTACCTGGTAGGTGCATTTAGCCGATTCTTCACTTCCAGGCGATATGCTTTGTACTGGCTGGCATTTGCAGTGTTTGTCGCCCGTAATCGAAGAATTTCGTATACTCTCCGTGCCTGCTTCTACAGAAAAGAAAACAAAAGAGTTGAAGGTAATTAAATATAACACACTAGTAAGGACCGACGAAACAGCGATTTCACAAAGATACATTTTTCACATGTGAATATATCACAAGATTTTTCTGGGTAAAGAAAAGCTAGTGCACAATTTCACATGCATATAAGTCGCTTAGAGATAACTTCAGCTACTCAACTTAGTCTTTATAGCACACTTAGTTAGGTAACTGATAAATTAACAACACAGCGCCACTCTACCCAAATTGATAATAACACATATCACAAATGAAAGGCATGTTCTTCAGGAGGAACATGCCACACAGATATTTCCATTACATTATGTAGGCCTTTCTTTCACTCAGTTCTTTTGATTCCAACATCTAGTATAGTGTTGGAAGTACACAAGAGATAATAAAATATGAATAAACCTTCATATAACATAATCGACAAATGCTCGAAAATTTATTGTGAACAGGTTTTCGTTTTACACTGTTTCAGCTGAAAATTTTGAAAAAGACAGCACGAATTAAACAAAAGGAACACTGATGGTAAGCTCACTAAAACATTTATTTAGTGGTAGAAAACTGCATTATTATTGTGATAGCATAATATGGACACTCTCGATGAGGTTCTCCCATCAAGCTCTGTATAAATAAAGCTACAATTGATAACATCCCCCCGCACATCGTAAGTACAGTAACTCTCATTAAACAGAACCTGAAGGGACCGTAAAATGTGTTCCATTTAATAGGAGTTCCGCTTAGTGATAGATGAACAGGATGCACAATGCAAGAACGAAACCATCTTGTCAGAAGCATTTGTTCCATTTAAGCAGCAGTTTCGTTAAACCGATTTCCGTTTACTGAGAGTTTAGTGTAATACTTGTGGGTAAAAGCACAGGATTGAGGGGCACTGCTAAAGTAGAGATCACATGAGCCGGCCCACCTCTGTTGCTTGGAGGGCACAATCGATAGGACCACCCAGTGTGTTAGAACTGTCGTCAAATGCTCAACAGAAAAGAAATGCCTCATCCATCTTTAACCAGCATGAAACGACATGTTTGAGCGGCAACTGTAAACTTCGATTCAAAGGGTGCGCTCGTATCACTGGCACACGCGCCCTCCACTACGGCGTCTCTCATAATCATGAAGTGGTTTTGGGACGTTAAACCCCACATATCAATCAACTGGCACACGCGTCATATTGGCCAGAATCATGCACGGCTCGTATACTTCTACGTGCTGCGCTCTCAATGTGAAGAGACTGTGTGAAAGAGCATTTCCCTATGGGGGGCTGTATTCTCTTCCCCCAGCGTTTTGTACAGTTACCCGATACCGCACCCACGAGAGTTAGCTGCCAGCCTTACATCGTTCATACTACATTGCAATTTGCTACTATCGTATTCATTGCTTTGCTCGTGCGATAAAACTGACTTTTTTTGTGTGTATGTGTGCGTCTCCGGTACTATTGAACGCTCGTAGTACATCATTACAATACTGTTCCATCATTGTCTAGCTGTGGCCTTTATGAGTGGCTTCGGCGAGAAGGCGGCGCATTGCCGAAGCTACTCGAAGTTCCGAGGTCTAGCGAACATGTGGCGGGGCACAAGATGGCATGTGCATAACGATCGACCCCGGAAGATCTTCGCTGTCACCATGGTTTCGGACAGTTTCCACCAGTGCCTAATCGCAGATGCACAATCTGCACAACCGCGCATGTGCCCGCAGAGGCAAGAATGGCGGCAATACTAGTGGCTGAAGCAATGCCGGTTGGCCCGCTTTGTGCACACCTGCGTGCACTAACAAGCACTCGCTCTTGCCTCGCAGTTTGCTGGGGCTTGGAACGCGCTGTGCATGCTGCTGTCGCTTTGTGCTTTGTCGTTGGTGGGGCAACCGCTGAAGATGCATGATGGAGGTCAAATGACAATATTTAAAACAAAATTCCTAGCTTGTTGGTGGAAAAAATTCATTGTATCAAGAATTTCTCCCACTGCAACTTTGTTACACAGAATCACAAGAGATGTACTTCTATGGAGTAACAGTGGAAAAGAGAAACTTCATAATACTGAAGAATTTGTGCAAAAGTTTGTTACAAGCAGACTTAGCTGCATACCAGTCATCACATCCTTGCAAGGAATCAGTACTGCATCGTTCACAGATGAGATGAAAATGAGTGTGCAAACACCACATACGGCACAAATCAGGCAGTCACTTTGGCAACTTCATTGCACAAACAGGAAACTGCCATGGCCTAAACCAGGGTCAGCAACTTGTTCAGGAAGGGGCCATGTTACATGAAGCCGACACATTGAGGGTCGGACGACAAATTGGTGGTGAGGGGGGGGGGGGGGGGAGAAGAAAACAAAAATCTAGTGAAATGGCAATGATACAGTGAGTTGTCAGTAGAACGAACGCCAATTAATGAAGTTTTCACATAATGAACTTTTAAAAAATCCCGCACCAACTGCTAATAGTTTCAATGTAAAATTATTTCACTACTACGTACTTCAGAATAACAAACTTTTCAAATATTGAGCACTAATTTAGTGCATTATATTAACAAATAACCCCTCAGTACAACAAAGTCACGTTCTGAAATCCGCCGCGACTACTAGAGCGGTACGGAAGTAGACAAAGCGAACGGCGATGCGAAGAAGAAAAAAAAAAAAAAACGAAGGGCAACTTTCTTTTCGTTCTTTTTGCTGAAATGCCTACGCTGCAGGTTTACAAGCCCAGAGGTAAGGGCAAGGGCCACACCGGAGAGCAAGGTCAGCGAAGCAAGTGGCTTGTGGAGCAGGGAGCATGGGTGCAGAAAACCTGAGACAGCAAGGGAGCATAACACGAAACACGAGAAATTTTTCTTTAGCACTTTTTTTTTTCTTCGGAAGAGACGATGACAGCGGCGATGCTTCGAGTTTTTCTTTCTTTGTCACTTCTACATATGCTCCAGAAGGCCTTGTTTGTCAGTCGTGTTCGTCTCTTCTTGGTAATTACTTATCGCGTCCGCAAAACACGTCGGCGTTCGCGCTGCGGTGCTTTACAAATGTTTCATCTACGCTTGCGACGAAGAAGCGAAGCAGTTTTCGCTAATCGAGAAGGTGAATATTCTTCGGAACTAGAAGGCAAAAGCAGCTGTTGTGACCAAAGAATCGAATCACATCACAGGAATGTGGATGAGGTGAAGGCCTTTGCGCTGCATAGTTTGTGCAGCACGTGTCAAAAAAAAAAAAAAAAGGAAGATAAAACACTTCTTTAAAGTAAACGTGCATTTATTGGTATTCCTGCTGCATTTGTTTCTTTCTCGTGAAAAATGAGTTCAAGGACCCACCATTGTAAAGGTAAGTCAGTTTGTCAGTGGAAAATAAATATTTATGGTTACTTTTTGGGCTTTCACTATAATGACCTTTGAAAATAACGAACAAATTGCCGCAGCCCCCTGGAGTTCGTTACACCGAGATTTCACTGTATACACAACTTACTAAGTTTAGAATAAATTTTGCTAAATTCTGGCTAGGTGTTCGGATGGTGCACAATGCCAAATAAAGGCAATCTTTCTATGCATCCTGTACAACCCGATTTAAGGTAGAAATACCATGTTGGGCTTCAGATCGGAAGTGAGAAGGGGGAGGGAGAGGGATTCTAATGCCGTGCCGGGGGTCATATAAAACTGCCTCGGGGGCAGCAGGTAGATCGCAGGCTGCCGACCCCTTGGCCTAAACTGATAAGTGAATAGTATTGCCTGTCTAAACTCAGTTCGCATCCGTGTTCTTCTATGTGGTCATCGCAAACAAGAATTTGCGCAAACAAATGTGCAAGTGTTTCTGATGCAAGCCCTGAAACTGTTTGCTGCAATAGAACACAGATGTACTACTTATGACTGGTCTCGAACAACCAGCCAACTAGGCATGCAACAAATACATACAGGGTAGCTCAAGACGACTGCATGGGGCACGCGGCAGCTCTCCGAGCTTCGAATTTGTGCCACTTAGATTGAAGAAGGTTCGGTTGAATTGCACATGGAAAACTGCCATTCAAGCCATCCCTACTTTCCAAGAAAAATATAGCCTACTAGCTTAGAAACCTTACTTAGTGTTTGTAGTGTACATCCAAAAATGGGTCTAGAACTGTGACCCTTTTACCACAAACTCAACAAAAGATACATTCACATAACTTTCATTGCGCCCACCAACTGATATGGCCTAGCTTCAAGCCATTGTAAGCACAGTGGAAAAAACAACGTTGCAAGCACACAGGAAGGTAAGGCCGTGAACAAGTGCTGACTTTCGAGCGAGTGTTTAGGTGGAAAGAAAAAACATTAAGAATTTTTTTAAGGGGACTATGTCTCTGCATCTTTTTAACAAGGGCTTCTTGAGTGACACCATAATCTCTTTTCAGTCGTTTTAAATATGCATGACTCCCCCCCCTCAAACTCCCAACTTAGGTAGACTAAAAAATGCTATGACTTACTGCATACAATATACACCAGCATACATTGGCTCCCATTGTCTTACATTCATCAACACATTTTAAAACTCTGGCTAATACGAGCTGGGGCACCCTGTATAAAGAATTATTCCTGAGCACTTTAAAAAAGGGCCCTGCAACACTTTTCGAGCGTGGTCAGAAACGCTGCCGATCGTAGTAGAGCTCCTGACAACACGCGAGCCAAATATTAATGCACAGCTCGCGACCTGGAATTCACAATAAATTGTCAAGTCAGCTGAAGATTGCTTTCTCTTTTCTCGACGAACCACGGGATAAGCCCAAAAATCACTCGTGGTAAGCCTATCTATTCTGGGCGTATTGGTCATTTGCTGATTTGAACACGGCATGCTCGGTTGTTGCAGAGATCGCCGCGGGAAGCCACTACTTGTTCACGCGTGCGCTTGCGTTAACACTGGAAAACCCACACTTTCGAAGAAAAAAAAAAAGAAAAAGTGCTCAAGGTCGAGAGGCATGCGTGACGTTTTTTGTTAGCCCCTTCCATCACTCCCTGCTTAGCTTCCAGCGCTTTTGTCAGGATGAGAGAAGCGAGAGTGGATTGCAGTGTGTGACAAATCTTTGTAACTCCGCTCGTACTGGACAGACTCATAAATTTTTGTGGCATTGACTTTTTGAGGCAATACGCTTTTCTAGTGAACTAATTTCATGGTTACTCAAAAAAGAGTTTCAGGGTCCCTTTAATATGGAGTGCTTCATAAGCACATTGTGTTTTGGCATGTGAAGGTTGGAATTTAATTATTTATCTGTTAGCTCTCTAAAGCAATGCATAGCAATGTGACAATGTCATACCAGTGTATAGTTGGCACATGAATAGATATAAAGCTAAACACAAAAAAGTGTGTTAGTACAGGAGAAAGGAATCTTCAGTATACTTTGTTGATTTTCAGTTTCTCTTGGGCTTCTTTCCACATATCTTCTGAGAATCCATTAAGCAAACTTTCCTTGGAAAATGAGGCAAGCTTCAGGCAGTTCCTGGCATCAACGAAGTCCCTTAGTCTCGTGAAAACTTCCGAAGGATCTTCCACTGCAAAAAGAAAAGGGAAATTACAAATGCAGTCTACATAGGTTCATTCACAGAACACCACCCGCACACACAGTAATGCTAACACCAAATTTTGCTAAATATAAATGAATTCACAGTGCCACGAAAGATGCGTACTGCACAACTCACACAAACGAGAGACTTATTATAACTTCTTGGAGATTGACAGCCAGACTGCAGACTTTAAAAAATAATAGAAATAAAAAAACACAGCAGAATGATTATCACATAGAATAATTAGCAGAACTGCTTCAAGTAACAGGAGCGCTACTATTACCTCACTATAAGAAAACATTACACCAAAATGTCTGTCATGATGCTTTAATAATCAGAAATAGCTCAAAGCACAACCTATCTTTTGTAAGACCAGTGTTTCGGAATGAAACAAAACTTAGAGAGAGAAGAGAGTTTTAATAAGAACAAAAGTGCAACCAAGGCGTTCTCTAATTTCGTTTTCGAGAAAAACCAAATGTTTTATTGCTTTTCAGTTCACGGGAAAACTTGGCAATCAAGAGCAACCGAGGTCATATAACATGAGAAATATCAATGTACAATACAGCACAGTCGAACACAGATATATCGAACTCGAAGGGGATCGCGAATTAGTGCGATATATGAAAAATCAGATATTAAATAAAAATAGAAGCCCCGAGAGTTTCTTTCTAGCAAATCATCACCTACAATAGGCGCATACAAGAATGACAACTAATTCCGCACAAACGCCACAACAGAATGAACCGCTAATCTTGACCTGCTTCTTCGTTTTTGAAATGTTGAAGACGCTAGTCTCGACCTAATCAAGGCTGTCCAGGTGCGACAGCATGGTTTCTTTTATATGGCCGACACAGCGGCGAATGATACCAAAAGCTGCCGCCACTTCAGCAGCGAACTACGCGCATCTAGCGCCTCGTCCGAACGATCCTCCTCGTCACATGAGCCGTCGGCCTGGACATTGCAGTCCGCTTCCATGAAGTCATCCGCAGACACTTCGCGTAGATCTTCTGCCGAGAACCGGGACAACAACTCGCGAAATGTGTCGTCTATGTGCTCGTCTTCACCAGTTTCCGCGAATTCCACCGTCTCGAAGCCTGCCGTGCGGAAGTAGTTGACCACTGTGCCCGTCTTCAGGTCTTGCCAGACATTGAAGATTTACGCGGGAGAAAACTTTGTGGAGATTTCCAGCCACTCCTTCGCCATCGACTGCTGAATGTCCTGGCTGCTGACAGCTTCGCTTTCGCCAAAATAGGTTTTGCCAACGATGTTGTAGCGTTGCTTAAATCGGTGAAGCCACCCGCTGTTGTCAGTGAAAATGTTTCACCAAGTGCAGCGGAAAACCATTTCACCTTGGCGATCAGCATTGGTCCATCCACCGGAATGTTCTTCGAGCGAAATTCTAAAAACCAGGCACAGAGTACCTTTTCTACATTCCCAAGGGCAAAAGCGCGCACATGAAAGGCTCCCAACGTTCGCTGCTCCGCCGCCTCTGCCTTGATTTTTAACAAGATACTCGGAGCGTTCCCTGGTAGTGTTGAAGTGCATCTTCCAGCTGACGTGGCGTTTGATATTCGAAGGTGGGTACAAATACCGTTTGATATAAACGTGCGAATTTCTATACTTTTACAAGGAATCTTAAGGGGATAATTTGAGAGTTCAATATCAGTGTTTAACTGTAGCATGTATTTCTGGCGAAAATTCCAAAGGAAAGGTGCATTAAAATTAAAAAAAAATAAACAGTGGCCACGAAAGCGATATGTATTTACGCAAGCGGGCTTTCATGTACAAGTCGCGCACGTAAAGAGGGCACTTTCAGAGCCTAATTTTGCACCATCAGCACAGTAGTCTCGCAGCTCAGAGAGTACCCTCAATGAAGGGCTGCTTCTGTGATCATGCTCACTCCCTCAACGCAAGCACCGAGCCTGCTGAGAAAATACTTAAGTTTTGAGAAAGTTAGACACTTATAAGGGTACTGCTTGTATTAATTGGCAGAAATATGAGTAATTACTTGCGCCTCTCTCAACACGGGAAGAGCCTGTTGTATCACAAATCCTAGATTCTTATCATTTCTTGCACGTGAAAATTTTGCTAGCAAAATAATAAAACATTATTAATTAATACGTGTGGTTAACGTCCCAAAACCACCATATGATTACGAGAGACGCCGTACCAGAGGGCTCCGAAAATTTTGACCACCTGTGGTTCTTGAACGTGCACCCAAACCTGAGTACACGGGCCTACAGCATTTTTGCCTCCATTGAAAAAAATAAATAATAAAAATACTTCAAGAAAGTTTTTTTGTTCCAGAACAGAAAAAACGAAACTTTTTACAGTGGAACAAAACAAAAATGAAAAAAACTGTTCCAACAACCAGGTTCTGGTGAAAATTTTGCCTGAAATCTAAGAATAAGCTAACACACTGGCAGTGTACATACACAACTACGGGTTCCTGTAGTAGCATCACGATTCAACTTCGTATTGTATAACTATCAAAAAATAGCCAGCGTCAAAAATTAAAAGGAAGCTACTGACGAAATATGCCAGTTCTTGTGGCATAGATGAGGTCGAGCCTGCTATAATAATAAATGTAATCAGTCGCACATCATAGTGGTCGCAGCAGAAGTCAGTAACCACTATAGTATTGAACTGTTATTGCACACAATCCACCAAAATTATCTGCTTGTCAGGTACAAATATGCGCATGAATCAGATATGTATACTGCCAGAACTTCTGGCAACGCTAATATGCTAACGTGCAGCTAGTAAGGAAGCCGCATACTTGCATACTAGGATAGCCTAGTTCGATAGCCTGTTTTTAGTCTCATGTAGGCTTGCTTAAGAATCACAGAGTTCAAGTCCATTGTTTTACTTTTCCCAATATACCATTATGAAGCAGCGTTTATCTTTTTGGAGCAGTTTGTAGCAGTGGAGCAGCACTTTAAACTGCACTGTATTCATACAGATAAGATAGGCATAATAACAGTTTCGCACAGCATATGTGCAAAACTGTTTCTATTATGCAGAGTTCCCAGGCGACAACTTGATCAAAAAAGAAACGATCGTTCATGGTGGCATGAACATAACCAGTAGTGCACCTAATAAAAGCACCGGCAGGCACACAGGCATATGTCAGCTTAGACCTTAAGTGTGTGCCCACGGCCAACTCTTGTCGTTTACACAGTTCCACGAGGTCAGAAATTTGAACTGGAGTCAACACAGAGAAGATACAGGAACGTTATCAATAACAATGGAGTGCACTGCAGCACAGCTTGCATAAAATCAGCAAAATAAAGAGCAAGGCAGCAGCTGCGAAGGCACGTACACACACCTGTGATGTCCAGGACACACTTGCGATGTCGGTCACTGTAAAAGTTGTATATTCCTTGCAGCAGCTCAGTGCCCAAGCCCATCTTCTGGAAAGGAGGTAGAACCAACATCTGGCTGCAAGAGAAATTATATATTAAGCACTGTGGTGCACTGCCTGCTTTTCTGAAATGATTTAGCAAGGCATATTCAGATAGTAACCTATAGGTTTGAAGCAAATAGTGATTTAGTGTTTTCACTGTGGCAGACGATGCTATACCGTGAATGCACCTGTCCAGAAAAAATCCACAGTGCCGCAAATCCCTACTATGAGGTTGAATGAACACAATATCCTGATATCGATTCACCAGTTCTCAAGTTTAAGAGCTTTTTATGCCGGCTTATATGCTATAAGTATTGTAAATTTTAAAACATAACACATTTTATAAATTATCACTTGCATTCTATTGCAAGTCAAATCCTGCTACAATTCAGAGTTGCTTTCAGTTACAATTCAGAGCTACAATTCAGGGTTACTCCTTTAAACCAACAAGATATACCCTAAAATTTGATATACAGTAAAACCCCGTTAATTCGGACTTCACGGGACCGGAGAGAACGTCTGAATTAACAAAGGGTACGAATTATCTTGAGTACGAACTAAACACTTGAAAAATGTCTCCTACACCATCAGACTTCTATTTCTTGAAAAAGGCTGTGCTCGCGGTTTGCTTCATGGACGCAATGTGCGACGAAGTCACAATTTTGCGAAGTTCCTGCAGGTGGTTTAGCCTGCGCACACTGTCTGAGGAAAGCACGCATATGTCCTCCAAAACGGCCAACGCATGCGCAGCTTCTGTCATAATGTGGCATGGACGCTCGTCAGCATCACTTAGGTCCTCGTCAGCCAATTCCCCTGCGCTGTCCAAGACTTTGGCGACGATAACGCTGTCGGTCACTGTGCCGACCACGGCAACATCGCTGTCAGTTGCGAAGTAATCGTCCAGGGGCACATCAGCCGGCATGGTGCTCACATAGCCGCTGTCTTGCTCTTCGCCGGTTTCTTCATCGGCCACCACCTCAGCATCAGCAGCGTCGTGCATGAAGCTGCTATGCCTAAAGCAGTTAGTTTGCGGCTAGTGCAGGTGATGTGTTATTCCCCACGTATGTCATCATGTGGATTGCGCTTAGCAGGCTTACTTCGTACTGCTTGCCTGGCTCTATGCAGAGCAACATCTGCTCGAGTACCCACCGTCGATAGCGGCTTTTCACGAGCTGTATGATTCCCTGGTCCATCGGCTGCAGGGAAGCCGTTGTGTTCGGAGGAAGGAATAGCAGTACAATGTGTTCGAGCCTGGACACCTTCGTGTGCGCACTACAGTTGTCTAGCTCGAACAACACCTTCCAAGCCTTGGCCGCAAAGCGACGGTCGAGCTGACGCCGCCAGGCTTGAAAATGTTCGGTAGTCATCCAAGCCTCTCTGTTGAACCCGTAGACGACAGGCAGCTGCTTAATTCTTCCCGATCACCAACAGAGGCAACCGCTCTGTGCCGGTCATCTTAGCTGCCAGAAGACCTGTCACGCGCTCTTTACTTAGTTTTCCATCAACGCACAGGTCCCCCTTATTGTTTTGTCAGGCAGAGCCTTATAGAACAGCAATGTCTCATCAGCATTAAAATGTTGCACGGCTCGTACGTAGAAAGGCGCGCGGATAGTCCAGACCCCCAGTCCTGCACAAAACTTTCGCCAACCGCACTTCTTTCACCCCGCATGTTGTGGGACATCAGCCCATGTTGCTTCTTGAAGCGGTTGAACCGGCCTGCTGATGCACTGAAAAAGTCAATGTCCACGATCGCCGCGAACTTTTCTGCTTGTGCGCAGATAAGGGGGCCTCTCAAGGGCAAACACGCATTGCGCGAAACCACAATCCAGCGAGCGCTTCTTCTAGCTTGGGATGCGCTGCCGTTTGAAGCCTCTTCCTTTGGTCACCAAACATGTCCCTGTCATATGCTTGCATATTCTGCTCTTCACTCTTCACATAAGTGCTCAGCGTGCTTTTCTTCACATTGAACTTTTCCATCACTTCTTTTCGAGATGCTCCTGCTTGCAACGCCTTCAATATTTTCACCTTCGCAGCCAAATCCTTTGCTTCGTACTTCGCCGTGATCGCTGCGGGAGTTGGGGCCGCAGGAGACGGAGGGGAAGCCATCCCGGCGTCGCTCACACGCGCGTGCACGAAGTAGACAGCACCAAGACGCACACACAAGAAAAAAAAAAGAAAAACACAGTGATAAAAATGATATAAAAACTGCTGAACTTTTGAAAAAACAGCAAACATCCCTGGAAAGTTATCCCTGAAAATTCCGTATTAAAACTATAGAAATTCGCACCTTTATATCGAATGGTTTGATTGCCTGCCTTTGAATATTCGAATGCCGCAGGAGCTGGAAAGTGTGCTTCGGCACTTCTAGCTTGTGCACATGCAAAACCCTTGACTTTGCGACAAAGTTGAAGGCTATTCAGTGTGCTGAAGTGGGCGAGAAATGGGCGACCATCGCGGACGACTTCGGGATACCACGGAGCACTCCGAGTACCTTGTTGAAAAACAAAGCAGATACCAAGGCAAAGGTGGCAGAGCAGCAAATTTCGGGAGCCTGTCATGTGTGCGCTCCTGCCCACAGGAATGTAGAAAAGGCACTCTATGCCTGGTTTTTAGAAGTGTGCGAGCAGAACATTCTGGTGGATGGCCCGACGCTGATTGCCAAGGCCAAATGGTTTGCAGCTGTACTCTGTGAAACAACTTCGCCGACAACAACGGGTGGCTTGATCGATTTAAACAGCGCTATATTGAACTCTCAAATTATCCCCTTAAGATTCCTTTGTAAAAGTATAGAAATTCGCACGTTATATCAAACGGTATTTGTACCCACCTTCGAATATCAAACGCCACGTCAGCTGGAAGATGCACTTCAACACTACCAGGGAACGCTCCGAGTATCTTGTTAAAAATCAAGGCAGAGGCGGCGGAGCAGCGAACGTTGGGAGCCTTTCATGTGCGCGCTTTTGCCCTTGGGAATGTAGAAAAGGTACTCTGTGCCTGGTTTTTAGAATTTCGCTCGAAGAACATTCCGGTGGATGGACCAATGCTGATCGCCAAGGTGAAATGGTTTTCCGCTGCACTTGGTGAAACATTTTCACTGACAACAGCGGGTGGCTTCACCGATTTAAGCAACGCTACAACATCGTTGGCAAATCCATTTCTGGCGAAAGCAACGCTGTTACCAGTCAGGACATCCACAAGTGGATGACGAAGGAGTGATCGGAAATCTCCACAAAGTTTTCTCCCGCGGAAATCTTCAATGCCAGGCGAGACGTGAAGACGGACACAGAGGTCAACTGCTTCCACAAGGCAGGCTTCGAGACGGCAGAACTTGCAGAAACCGGTGAAGACGACAAGCGCATAAACGGCGCGTTTGGTGAGCTGTGATAAGATCAAGATTAGCGTCTTCATTTCAAAACGAAAAGCAGGCCAAGGATATATATTTTTTTCCATCTCATTCTGTTGCGTTGGTGTGCGGAATTAGTTGTCATGCTTGAATGCACCTATCGTAGGTGATGGTTCGCTACAGGCAAGCTCTCGGGGTCTCTATTTTTTTTATATTGAAATTTTCATATATTGAACTAGTTCGCGATCCTCTTCAAGTTCAATTTATCTGTGTTCATCTGCATATGTCAGAATCCAATTAGTTAAAACAAGGCCTATGCGAATGGCAATGACTTTGGATAGTGACAGTGCTTGACGTTTGGTAGAATGCAAGTCATAACCCGTAAAATATGTTATGCTTTAAAATTTACTATTTACTATACTCGAACATATAAGCTCGTATAATGTGCTTTTAAACTTTAAAAATGATGAATCGATGCAAAGGTAATACTTTTACTTAACTATGAGGGCTTCACAATGTATCATTTCTCTATTGCAGTGAAACCACCTTTACAATAGGCTAAAAGCAGACTTTACACCTATTCCTTCATTTCAGATACTTCAAATTTGCAATAACTTAAGTACGAGTTGAAGTGAATTCAGATACAGATATTGGTATTGACAAATTCCTGAAAAATTTGTTATAAAAGGATTTCGTTACATGCAGGTTCCGTACGAATATTTAAAAAATAAATGCACTAATTAAATAAATAAAGTGCCACTGAAGCAAGAGCTAATCGACTAATTGTGAAGGCTATGGTCCCACCTTCCCTCCTTTATTTTACGTTATTAGGCTAACCGTGATGAATTTACTAATACGTATAGGTGACTTCTGGCTGAGGGCCACTGTCTTCTTCTATGTTTATTTACCAGAGTGTTTTCTTTATTTACTACCTAAAAACGTCAGCAAAATAGGATACAGCCTTAAAGGCAGCGCCTGTCTATTCTTTAGCAGCTAGAAACTTCTCGCGTTAAATTTTCATGCACTCCAACCGCCCGCGACGTATACGCTCAACGTAAGAATCACATGGAAGGAGCTGATGAGTCAGAAAACAGGTTCGCGCAACGCGCCAGTTCAGAAGAAACGTCAGAGTAGGAGTGCGAACAATTGAAATCAACAAAACTCCGACTTTGCAGACACTTTGAAACCAACAATGTCAACAGGGCCGTACCCAGGAATTTTTGGGGGGGGTCTGCGTGTAGAACGGCTGCCATTTTTTAAGATTTATACTGGCTTATTTTCGTGAATAAAACAAGTACATCGCTTACTTGTAATAATTCGATGGTACTTTTCAATTATTTGTACCCAAATAAAGAAATTGGTATGTCAACCTCAAATTCTGGTTAAAGCAAGAAATAAGTTTGGACAATAGCACCACCAAAGCCGGGGACACCGCGACCAACGGCTCCTGATGAAGTAACACAATGTAACAGCGGTACAAAAACGGTATGCATGTGTTACAAGCTGCCACTCTAGTGTTGCCAGCGCGAAGCCGGCGACGGGAATGGCAGCAGGTTAGGTCGCTCCGTACGTAAGCAGAGACAGTGAAGAGATCAGAGACGTATGTGGGGAAAAACAAAACTCTCGTGATATTGCAGCACTGCAGAGGAATCTAGGAATATTGCAGAGGAATCTAGTACAACACTTAATACC